ACTAGATATATATATATATATATATATATATCTCAGTGGCAAAAGGAGTGATATACATATGCATATAATTTAATTTGGCGAACAAAACAAATCGAAAGTGGGATAAAGCGTTTTAGTGAGATGGGAGTGGAATTCCTGGGATTTATTCGCGTGTTACCACCCCAATTCTCGCTCTGCACTTCGCCCCATTCAACACCCGTGGATATTTCACTTTGCATTTGTTCTGTCTCCGCGCCGAGACTGTTCTTGAAAGCTTTCAGCAATGATGCTTCACAATAATTCACTTATATCCCCCCAACCGTAATCATTTATTGAAATTTTCACGTTCCCGAAACGAGCTTTCACACAAGTCCTCGCCATGTACACAACTCCCCATATCGACGGGTGCCTCGGAAACCGTCAAAAGTCTAAATTGCCATTTTTCAGCAGAGCAAGTTCAAAATTTAGCGCTAATAAAGCTGCGAAATTTGCCAAATTCACTTCAAAACCTTCAAAACTCCTTCAAATCGTCCGTTAAACTGCAAATATTGCTCTGTTTTTATCATTTTGTAAATATTTCAGTTGATTTTATTGGTATTTATTGGAATTGTTGACTAAAATATGGCAAAATTAATAGGAGTTTCGAAATTATTACAAAATTATTGATTTTTTTTTTTAAATATAAGAAATATTCATTCAAAGTCTAAAAAAACATTTTAGAATGATACTGAAAATTAAAAATAATTTTCTGAAAAGGCATTTTATGCGTTTGACTGTATGTTTTTGAGATATTTTTCTTGGAAAAAGTGTACAACGTAAACAATGAATATTCGTAAAACATGACAATTCTTTTCCATTTGTGTTTTTTTTCTGGATCAATAAGATTTTTTACTATTGTCTCATAAGATACAAAACTCAAAATTTTTGTACAGGAAGAACAAATAAAAAGCTTTTCAAAAATTCATAAGACGAAAACATATGATAAATCGACTTTTCTTAGTTTTCGATTCACCCGTCGATATATATGTTGCGCCTGAGCCTCAACATACATATCATCTCTCTCTCTCTTTCTCTGCTGTGTTTTTCCTCAAATATTTTTCCAACATAATTCACTTTTATTGGCTGAGACCTGCTAATTGAGTTTTTGAGCATGCTAAACTAAATTGTTTCATAATTGCATAATCCATACTTTACACGAGAAAAATACGTGGAAAAACAGCAACAGCAACACCAAGAATTACAACATTTCACATTCGCTCTCACAAGAGGGTGAAAATTAATATTCCGCCATATCGCTGTTGTTAATTGAACTGGCTTCTAAGTATTTCCTGTTCTGCTCATTATTGTTGCAAAAGGCAATCAGGACATTATTATGGATGAAATTAAAGGTCACTGTATCAAAAATTATACAGAAAAATATGTTCTGCTTTATTTTACAACTTTAATTTATTTTAAAGCCACGTAGCTCTATTTTTAAATAGATCTGGTAGAATGTTAGATGCTCTGAAATTCTCGCAAGGCTTCCATAAAGATGACTGTCAGAAGCCTGCGGTTTTCGACAAAAAAGTTGAATGAAACTTGGAAGGAATAAGTAGCAGTGTCGCAACCATTCTACGAAGCTTGCCTCTAAAGCATGTATTGTAGCCTTTATTTGAAGGTTTTAAAATTTTCCGCTCAATTTTTAACAAATTTGAAAATTCAGAGCTAAATTCGCTTCAAATTTTGCCGAATTTACACTAAAAACACTCAAAAAAAACCTTCCAATCTTCCATTAAATTGCTAATATTGCACTGTAATAATTATTTTCTGAATGTTTCATTAAAAGGGAAAATTTAATTTGTAATTATTCAATAATTTTTTCTTAATTTTTCATAATTTTTATTCAAATCTTGAATTTTGTATACAATATTTAATCGTTTTTTGCTTATTCTAAACAATATTTAAATATTTGATTATTTTCTCCACATATTTCCGCCAGAGGGCAACAATTTGAACTTAAAAAATTTAATTTATTGAAATATTTTGCCAAGAATATTCTATTTCACTTGGAAAATGATCATTTTTGATTTTTTTTATTCAAATTTTGATTATTTGATAGTAAAAATCAATATTTAAATATTTGATTGAGACCATTGAGATTTCTCAAAAGTCCGTTAGTGACTTTGCTCTGGGTTTCACTTGATTTTACTGGTATTTTTTTGAAGTCTTGTCTGAAAAACTGAGAATATTAGATTCCAAAGTCGATTTTTAATAATGTTCGAGTATATTTTATCCGATAAAGTCAAGAAAAAGTTCTAAAAAAACGAATTTTTGTATATTGCACAAGAACTTATTTTAAAAAATTTCCAAAAATTTAAAAGATATGACAAATATTATATTTTTTCGAAGTCTAAGAATATTTTTAGGAAAATCCTGAATTTTTGCATCTTTCCTGAATTTGCAGATCTGCAGTAGGCGCAGTGTTAAGAGCTTTTTTGGTGTTTTTATCATTTTCTTATTCCAGCCAGAGTTGGCGGTGTGTTAAATTAATTTCCAGGAGTTTCTCGTGGCACAAAAATGAGAATTTGTGGTCTTGTCACAGATCATCCTCCTTGACTCTAAGATGTGCAGCACACGTCATTTAATATTACCCGCCACGCCTATCACTGCCTTTTATAATGTGGCAGACGTGAGCGGGCTCAGGAGATGGAATTGCATATCGTGTGTCAGGAGAAAAATTCAACGTGAATGGATAAAGTTTTCTTCTTTTACGGGGAAAGAAACGATATGTGAGAACTTTTGTCTCTATCAGCATTTCGGCAACAGTTCGATTGGAAGTTTGCGTTTGATTGGGAGGAAAAACTTTGAGTGCTCCGGCCTGTGCGCTTTCCTTCTCTCTTGGGAAAGGCGTCCAGGAGCGAAGGATGTTTGGGAACGTCTGCCGAAAGGGCTTTCCAGCAAAACTCCTAAGTCGCCATAATTTAGTGCACTTTTTCTTGCCACACATTGGGAATATTTACACCCGCAGCATTTTCAACCCTATTTCCTCAACTCCTCGACCGGGAAAATGCCTTTCCGCCACGCCAGATCCTCCGAAGCGCTGTGTAAGGAAGAAACTTTTTGAAGAACATTAATATGTTTTTTTTTTCTTCTCTCGCCCTCCCGATTTCCACAACGTACATATGTATGATCTGGTTATGAGACATTCTGCGGAAATATCGCTGTGCATCGGATCAAAAGTACATAGGTGTGATTTTATGAATTATTATGATAATTTCGCTCCCATCCGATATTTCCAACACCACGCGGGATTTTGGCAATAAATCTCTCATGTGTCACTGTTTTACGATTTTGCGGAAGCTTCAACAGAATTCTAATTAACCTCCGTAATTAGGAAATTAGTGTTGTTATATTGATTTTTAAGCATAGGCGCACACGGCATATTTATGTAGGCGCATTGTGTTCATGTTTCAAATCCAATGTGATATTTCTACCAAAGATCTTTGGCTGGTAAAAAGAGAATCCATTGTGGTTCAGTAAGGAGATACAATGTTGATATGTTAGATTCGCGCTATTATTTCAGCCAAGGCGGAGATAATACAATAAAGGAAGTGTTCAAAAACTTACAATATTCCTTTCCTGAGCACTTCTTTTACCGACAAAATGTCTGGTTTCGGTAGAAACAACCATAATAACTTTTTTCTAGGTTATTGAACTCGAACATAACCTCAAAAATATTAATTTGGACACGAAAATGTATATTTTGATAACTTTCTGGACGATTTTAAGTTCATTGGTAAATCATAAGAGATGCTTTTGTGATCCAGAAAGCTTCCAAAGAGTGTTCTTGAAGATCTCTTAGTCATATTGAAAGGTTATGGTCGGAAAAGATGTTCAATAAAGTGATTTTCATTGGATTCTGGTAGAAATATTGGATGTTCAAGTCGGAGAAAACGCTAGTTATTGGCAGAATTTAGCGATTTCATGTTAAAAACATTGCTTTTCTGAACCTTTAATGCCTAGAAAGACTGCAAATTGAGTTGAAGTGGAACATAACCTCAAAAATATTGTCTTGATCTTGAAAAATGTTTATTTAGAAAGCGTTCTAGATGATTTTGACTCTAAATCTGCAATTCTTAGTTCATTTGCAAATCATAAACTAATAAAATTGAGTTTTAAAAGCTTTTTTAGTAATATTTTTGAGGTTATGGTCGGAAAAGGCATCCAAAATAAATGGTTTTAAGTGAATTTTTGCGGAAATGTCGAATGGAAAGTGAAGAGAATCATTACAATATGGGAATTAGTATGCAAAAAGGCCAAATTTTAAAGAAGTGTCAAGAAGTGCGATGTACAGATTTAAGGCATATTGTTTTCCCCTTGATTTCTGCGAAATTTCTGGCATGTGGAAGGTTTTCTTGTTAGAATCTAAATATTTTGGATTCAAGCCATATTCCAATGACTAGATTTCAGAGAATGACATTAATCTAATAACTTTTCTTAGTACAAATTGAGATAAACATGCATCAAAATCTCGTGTCTTCAATTTATCATTTCTCCAAAATACTTCATGAATACATCTTCATGAGAGTAATGTAAATAGGTCAGAAAGCGCCCGTGATATATGTTACGTATAAAAATGCTTTAGCCATAATCACTAAGATTAAGATTGATTGCAACTCTTCTTCGCGCACGTTGGATTTTTATTTTCGGTGCAACACTGTGTGGAAAATCCACGCTTTTGGCTTCTCTCATCTTGCCTCGCATTCATTATTTGACTTATATTTGGCAATTTGCTACAGCGAAGTACATTTTGTGTTGGAATTATTTAACAAGACTGTCGGCAAAAAACCTCATCTCGTGGGCGAGGAGTGTAAAAGGAGTCAAAGTAAACAAAACCGCACAGCGAAGAGGCAAAAAGAAGCAAAAAGAAACGGTTGAGCTTTGATGAAAGTTCGCCGTTTGAATCGGCAAAATCGTGCGATTGCCGATAACTTGAACGATGGCGTCACGAAGTGCGGCGAAAAGTTCTAATGCTCTGTCATCAGCTGTCAACCATTTTTCCAACAAAGTAATTTTTACGCTGCATTTCTTTATGAAATTGACGTGGCATTTGCATTTCCCACCCAATTAATCGTCAACTTTGTGATTGCTGTGTCTGCGCGTCGCGGTGGTGATACAATTGAGCGATGGGACTCACGATATCCAGCCTTTTTTCACGCCTCTTCGGCGAGAAACAGATGCGAATTCTTATGGGTGAGGTTATGGCGTTTCTGGGCGAAGGCTTCCGGGAGAGGCTCTTGTGACGTGTGTTTTTCCCTCCCTCCCCGCAGTGGGCCTCGATGCTGCCGGCAAGACAACAATTCTGTACAAGCTGAAGCTGGGCGAGATTGTCACGACCATTCCAACGATTGGCTTCAACGTCGAGACTGTTCAATACAAAAATATCTGCTTCACTGTGTGGGATGTTGGTGGCCAGGACAAAATTCGACCCCTCTGGAGACACTACTTCCAGAACACGCAGGGCCTCATCTTCGTGGTGGATTCCAATGATAGAGAGCGCGTGGGCGAGGCCGAGAAGGAACTGCAGAACATGGTGAGTTGTGCGCTTATCAAATTTCCCTGATGTTTTTGATTGTGTTTTGACCCGAATTTTCCGCAATTTGCAGCTGACGGAGGACGAGCTGAAGGACGCTGTAATTCTAATATTTGCCAATAAGCAAGATTTGCCGAATGCAATGACCGCGGCCGAGCTGACGGACAAGCTGAACCTCAATCAGATGCGAAACCGCCGCTGGTACATTCAGGCCACCTGCGCCACGCAGGGTCACGGCTTGTACGAGGGACTAGATTGGCTGTCCAATGAACTGGTTAAGAAATAGACATCTCACCCACTTTCCTCACTCGCGAACACACACGAAACCCGGTGAAATTGGTGGAAAACCACGGAGAAGATAAAAAAGAAAATGGCACACAGATTTGTGTACGGAAGTTTATTTTAACAATAATATGTCTTAGATACTACGCCAGAATTTTGACTATGTCATCCACCAGCGGATTGTGGATGGCCGACACGACGTCCAGCAGCGAGGCGGAGCACTCGCGGAACTCCCTGGCGCAGGACACGCCGCTGCGGCCCAGCTGCTCTGCCCTGAAGTACTCGTTGTCCGAGTGCTGCGAAATGGGATCGCTGGATGTGGACGGCGTCAGGAGGATGTGGATGAGTTCGGCCAGAATGCCACTCTTGCGGTTGAAGGGCACCTCGGCGGTCTCGCAAATCACCCTCAGGACGCACGCACGTCCGCCAAAGCCACGCCTAGAGAGGGATGAAGAAGTGAGAGTGATTAGATGCGTGGAAGGGGATGAAAAACACTTCGGTACTCATTGGCGATGGCCTCCAGTCCTCTGTAAACGTGCCAGCGTGTGTGATCGATGGTGAAGTCATCGTCGGTGGGAAAGGCTTCGTCCACGTCCTTCTCCTCCTCCTCCTTGTCATCTTCCTCGTCGTCTCTCATCCACTCCCAGTCCTCCTCGTCCACGGCTATCGAGTTCCCGTCAATGAGCACACTGTCGGCGTTGTACACCTCCCTGTGCCCCTCCAGCAGGTCCGGGAGGATGTGAGAGTGATTGGAGGGCGCATCCCGTCGGGTCTTCTTCGTTTCCCACACGGGACTGATGCGCAAATGCTCAGGCGTCGTGGGGAGGAAGTACTGCGCCTTCAGCACATATCCTGTGGTCACGGCGACCGACTCCAGATCCAGGGGGATACCAATGCCGAAGATGAATTGGTGCCGAGTGGGAGCAGTCGGTGGGAAGATGAGGAAGCGCTTCTCCCGCGTCAAGCTGTGACTCTCGGCAGAGGTGCGGGAGAAGAGCCACAGTGTGAGGAGGAAACACTGTAATTTCATCTCTACGGCACGGCGCTGGGAAAGTGACTGAACATGCTAATCTCTGGCCAGAGCGGTGATGGCTTGAGATGGGAGAATCGGAGTTCTAATTGATCTTTGTGGAACAATTAACACAGCAAATACAGCACCGTTACCCACTGAAGTCCACAACTATTTCAGAGATTTGCTCAATGTGTCGCCAAATGACCTGCATAAGTGGAGAAATAAAGCCAAGATGTTGTATTTCTGCGTGTTTGTTATTAATAATTTCTGTTTTTATTCTGCTCTTCCGGCAACTTTTGACCGTTATTCTTGTCCCTTCGTTTGAATTTTGCGAATTTTGCCACCGCGATCGCTGCGATCGCTTTTCGCCGCGTGTGAAGCGAGCAGCGAATCGTGATCGGCTGGGAATGGAAAAAAACAATATGGAGTTTTCGTCAGAGTGAACTGCAAACTTTGTAATAATTTGTTTGTTTCTGAAGAAAAAACTGTTAGTTGCGTGAATTTTTATTGAAGATCCCCGAGATAAGCTCGAACAGAAGTGATCTGAGGTGAAATTGGTGAAGACAGTGACGTTGTGAAGCGCATTCGCTGTGCTGAAATGCAGTCCAATGATGGTGAGAAGCGGACGAGGATGTCGAAGGCTGAATGGAGTGGCGGAAATGGTCGGCGTGCGGGCAATGTGGCCGCTTGGCAGCCTCAGTTGCCCATCCTGCGATACCGTCCGCCGGGCCCCGCGGCGACCACTGTGCCGCTGATGCCGCAGGCGCCGATGAGCATGGCTCCCAAGGGCCACGTGTACACGACAGCGCCGGAGCCGCAGTATCCGCCGCACGCGCCGCACTTCGGGATGCCCATGCAACCGCCGCCGGTGTCCTATGTGCCGCAGGTCTATCCGCCGCCGATGCCCATCCAGAGCTTCCCGCTGGGCCCGGAATGGGGTCCTCCGCTGCCGCGCCCCAAAGTCTCCTTCGCGGCCATGTACGCGCCGCAGCCGTCGAGCGGCAACAACAAGAATCACTGGGAAAGAGCCGCGCCCCATGCCGTCGCCATTGTGGATCCGAACTCCAAGAAGGACATCCGCAAGGAGCACATCGAGAGCTTCCGCAAGAGCTCTCCCGACGCCTGCGAGAAGTGCGGCTCGGCGGCCGAAGAGGCCGCCAAAGCGGCCGCCATTGCCAAGAGTCTCGAGGCGCCGGACGAGGCGAGTGAACTCCAATTCCTTCAGGAAAGCGTGATTTCCGCTGAGGACGAAACCATCGCCAAGTGCGATCTGGCGGACATCACGTGCGACAGTCCGACAAACATCATTAGAGACATTCCGACGGACAAGGAGACGCCAACTGAGCAACCTGACACAGGATCTGAAGGTAAGACGACAATGAATTACGGAAAATCGCCTACTTTGAAATCGACGAGTGAATTGAAAACGTTTGTCTTGTGTATTTTTGAAAAGTTCTTTTAAAAATTTAAAATTTGTATTTCATAGGACAATAATGAGAAATATTATTTATCCAAAAAAACGAATTAAATAAATTCTTGTTTTGTGGTGTAAACTATAAAAAATCGAAGAAAATTGCCTAAAACTGTAGTCAAACTTAACTGAAATAATTTAAAGATTACCAAAAATTTTCTAAAATGTTCTTAGTTTTTAAATGAATATAATATTTGTTATATCTTTTAATTTTTTTCACTTCAAAACTTTGAAGAAAAGTACAATTAAAGAATAAAAAGTTTATTTTTTGAGCTTCTTTGAATAATATATACTGTAAAACTTAATAAATATCAACTTTGAAAACAAATAATCTTAATTTAACTATTAAATTTCTCATAATTTGATCAAAAATTTCAAAAAAATATCGATGAAATGAACTGAAAAATTTTAAAAAGAAATATTATAACAATAACAGAACAATCAGAAGTTTTTTTTAGGGTTCTGTAACAAATTCGATAAACTTTAAAGCGATTTTAACGCTAAATTAAAAACTTTGTTTTTTTTTTTAATTCTTTTTAACCACGATTTTGACCTTTCATGATTTTCGATTCACCCGTCGTAAATGAAATTTCAATTTTAGGTCGAATTTTCATCTGTAGTGTACAAATTTACAGGAAAAAATTACCAAATCTATTCTTTTATTGTAGAATTTGTCCTTTATTAATAACTAATTCGTTTTTATCCACGAAACATGACGATTAAAGTAGGATTCTTTGATAGACTTTATTGATTTATATACAGTTGTATTGAAGCCTCGATTTAATCCTATTATATAAAGTATACAAACTGATTCAATGCTTTGAGTAAAGCTTGCGTTTCATGTATATATTGAATTATAATTTATTTTATAAAGAACAATTCTATTCATTTGCGTGAGTGTTCGAATATTGATGAAAGGCTGAATTATATTTTGTGCTTTTGAAACTTCTCAAAATATTCACTGGTGGACAAATTTTGAGAAACTTTCTATTCCAATATTTAAATAGAATTTTGCAACTTTATATTTCCAACTTGTGGCTCGGGTTGATTCAAAGGTTTATCGATTATTTGGCTGAGGTTGCGGTCTTTCATGGGATTTTAGTTTAATTAATTGATATAAGAGGAAATATGTGGGTCAATATGGTATTAAAGAAGTTATAAACTTTGAGTTTCCACACATTTCAGCAGTTAGTTTTGTGTGTGTGAATAAATGTTTTCGAGAGACTTAAGAAAATTGTCAAAACGAGAATTTAATTCTATAGAATGAAATTTCAATCCATCGAAATGCTTTCTTTTGATCTTTTTTTCTTTATGTGTTCTGCATATTTTATATAATATGATGAGATTTCTGATTTAAGACACAATTTGACGGCTTGAATTCTTGAGATCAGATTCATTTGAAATTCGCAACGGTGTCGAAATACGGAGTTTTTGTCGATTTTCTTAATTTCTTTGTTCTTTTTAACATGCAGACTGAAAATTATTCTTTCTATTTCAGAAATAAAATACTTGTTTCATTGATTCTCCAATACGTTCCGGAATGTATGGCGAACAATAATAATTTTAAACTGTAATTTTCGTGTGTTTCTGGAAAAAATAGACTTAATATTATAGTTTGATACGTTTTGATGTTATTTCTAAAGTTATTTTATGCTTGAAATCATTAATAAACACATTATTTTATTATTTTCTAAGCATCAATATTAATATTTTAATAATTTTCACTCGTTAAAAATATGCTTGTGATAATTTTTTAAATAAAATTAATCCTTGAAGTCTTGTAAAGTTAAGAAATATGTACTTAATTTTTGTTTTAACATTTTAAAATTAATTCATGTTTTTTTTGCATAACTTACTAATTTTATTGGTAATAATTAATGTTAAAAAAAATCAAGGAACACAATAAATACTCATTATTTTCTGTAGTTTGTAATGAAATATGTTTTATCATTTGAATATCTTGTGTTATAAAAATTAGGTTAATTTGAATGACAAACGCTGTAATTACAGACGACTAATAATATATTTCAGTAGTTAGAGACTAATTATCTGTTTATATTTCTGTCTTTGGCTTCGTTGCAACTTTACTTTCATATCATATTAAATGAGCTGTCAAAAATATGAATTCATAGAAAGGCGTTGCAAGATTACGATTCGTATTATTTACTAATGTGGAGAATTTATCTTTTGTGAAACATGAAAGATAAAAAGAGTCAGAAAATTCACGTGAAAACTATGGAAATAGACAATAATGATGTTTTTATGTAAATAAACACACATTTATTGGATTTTTCTGGCCATTTGTGCACATTTCAATGCAACAGATTGGGGTTATGTGTTTTCGGATCCTTTGATTTTATTTATTCTTCACGCGTTCATGTCGTGACACGCACGAAAATGCGACTGTGCTGAAATGTCACAACAAAGACATCTTCCAGGACATTCTGGCCAGCAAAATCCTTCAAGAATCTCATCGAAAACACGCCCAATGTCAAGAATTGTCGCTGATGAAGATGTCTTGTCACTGGAATTTAGTATTTTGCACTGTTGAACACATTCTTCGCTTTTAAAACATTCCTTGGCAATTGCCGAAAATTCCTGGAAGTTCCTTGAGATTAGTTTCGGAGGAACATGGAAAAATGCACTTGAAAGTGACTTTCTGATAGCGGAAATTCGTATTAAATAAACCCTAAATTTGTCTTGCAACGCCTTCTCGATCGTCTTTCATTCTCACTTTACACTAGCGCCACCGGACGGTCGCTAATATAAGCTATGAAAATGTAAAGTTGCAACGAATCATTTGTTGGTTTATGTCTTTGTTTTGGATATAAATAAAAATGATACGACAAGCGGATATTTAAACGACAATGTTTATTTAAAATGCAAACGATGTTTTACAACTCTCTGGAACATGCTTTGAATTCTTTAAAATATATTTATAATGTTAATTAACATGCTCAATATTACACGCTCTCTTCTGTGTTTTTTTTGACCTTTTATTCTTCAACTAATTTATTAATGTAAATAGACGAAAAGGAGGTTTTTCTAATGCGATGTGATGTTTTGAAAACTTGCAGATTTTTCCACTCCATTGGAACTGACATCGAGTGAGGGAACGACTGAGGAGTGTGTGGAAGAGGAGCTCGGAGTGGCGAGTGACAATGCGTCAGTGGAGACAGGTGAGAGTCAGCAGGAGGAATGCGCAATTGCCATTGCCCTGAAAATGGGCGATGATGAGGAGGAGGAGGAGGAGGAGGAGGAGGAGGAAGATGCGGAGGAGGAAAGAAGAATCCTCGAAGTGCCCGCAGAGATTAGCCGAAAGCAGTACACGCTGGAGATCATGCACAAGTTGAGGCACAAGAAGACTTATGTGAAGCACATAATGGACCTGAAGAAGAAGTGTCCATGTGTCATTCGGAGCATTGATGTGAAGAGGACACAGATTGTGAATAATCTGTTTCCACATTATGCACTGAAGAATAATGAAAATGTCATAATCACAACGAGATGCAAGAGGGATCAACATGGTGGAGGAAGTGCAGGGAGGAAATTGTCACCGAAGCGATGTGCTAAATTGTCTGCTGTGAAAGCTCAATCAGACGTAATTCACGTGAGTTTATCTATGCATGAGGATGTGAAGTTGAATGTGGTGGAGAATGCATGGAAGCCGTCTGTGTTTGCTAAGAAAATGCCAAGTGATGCCGATGAGCGTGTGGAGACGGAGAATTTACTGAAGTTGTTTCGGGGAATTCTCAATAAGATCACACCGAAGAACTTCGGGGCGCTGCTGATGCAGGTGAAGGAGTTGAAAATCGATACGAAGGAGAGACTGGACGCTGTGATTGATTTGGTGTTTGAGAAGGCTGTGACGGAGCCGAAATTCAAGGAGTGCTACACGAAGCTCAGCAAGCAAATCTCGATGGTGTACAAACCGCCGCCGGAGTTGATGGCAGAGCAGGCGATGGATTTCAGGCGGATGTTGCTCAATCGCGTCCAGCATGAGTTTGGCACGTGTGTTGAGATGTCAAAGAAGAGTGGCGCTGACTTTGACACAGAGACGGATTATGATGTGATGCGAAAGCGCGCCATTGGATCTGTTCAATTTGTTGGGGAGCTTTTTAATTTTCAACTGCTCGCGGTGAAAACGATGAAAAGCTGCGCGCAGAGTCTCTTGAAATGTGGCACATTGATGTCAATAGAGCTCTTTTGCAATCTGATTACAACAATTGGTTGCCAAATGGAGAGGCAGGAGAAGAGTTCGGCACGAGTGCTGATCCAGCGCGTGAAGGATGTGGTCAAAACGGAGAAGAAGAAGTTTCCCAGTCGCATAAAGTTCATGGTTATGGATTTGGATGATCTGCAGAAGACGTGGATTAAGGAGATTAGCGCCAATTCCACGAAAGATACCAAAAAACCTATGTAATTTTCTTTTTTTTTCTCTCTTTATGAAATTTCACTAGTTAGTTTAGGATAAATTCAAAGATACATCAAATCATAAAGAAATTTTCACGCACTTTGATGTAATACATGAAAATAAGCTTTAATCAAACATTCAATGATTACCTAATGAATAGTTTATTGACTGAAATGTTCTACTTGTAATCGAATGATCTCTGGAATATAACTAACTATTCTAAAACTACAATAAACAAGTAAAAACTCAAAATGCAAGCTTTTCCTGGTCTTTGTCCTTTGGCAGCAGCAAATTGATGTGAATGGCTTTCATGGAGAGCAAGGGGGAGATAATACGGCTGAACAGTGTCTGTGATTCTTCCAGAACTGTGGCAGTCAAGGGGAAAATCACCTGCGGTTTCAGACCATTAATCTTGTGATTATTCAGTAAATTTCTCCACAAATTGCCGCTAGAAGGCAGCAGTTTAAAGGTATAAAGAAGTTCTGATTGCATTTCACAAACCTCTGAATAATCTGATGATAAAATATGGATTTTTATGCGCAAACAGCTTCATTTTCGTGCTCAAATTTCCTTTTCTCCTGGTCAGGATCACGCCAGGAAGACATAAAATGTGAAAATACGTAAGAAGATGGAGAAAATTATGCGAGAAATGCGATATTAGCGTCCCCCACGCCAACTTTGCTGCCCTCCGGCGGCGATATGAGTAGATAATGATCAAATATAATTAAATTTCAATCAAATATTCATTAAATATTTGAAAATAATTTGATTTAATTGAATGTGTTGCCGAAAATATTCAATCTTTGATTATTTGTAATATAATCAAAACACAAATTGATATTTAAATATTTAATTGAGACCATTAAGATTGTTCAAAAATCGCCTAGTGATTTTCCTTTTGATGACAAGGCTTAAAACATGCGTTTTCCCTATGCTTTTCTGAACTTTACAGATTTTTCAACCGTCTAAATTATCATAACCTCAAATTTAAGGGTCTCTGGACCCAAAATAGACGCCATTTTTACTTGTATGATCTTTAAAACTTACAGAGAAGCAGTATTTAAGAAATATTTCAAGTTTACAGCAATTATTTTGATGTAATTCACATTTCAATCACTTTTTCAATACACTTTGGACCATAACCTAAAAATTATCCTTGAAATTTTGTTATTTTAGAGTAGAAATTCAATCAAACGGCTCGTAAAATAGACAATTTTGTATCCTGGAACAATATTTTAGAGGTTATGATTATTCTTTGCGCAAATTAATGCTTTTTAACACTGAATTCTTGTGATATTGCGTTAAGTTCTGTATATCACTTCTGACGATAATATCTCCTCCTTGACGGAGAGCATTTCAAGTCCACCTCTGAGCTTTTTAGCGTGTTACTTAATGTCTCTGCATAGTGAAGTATGTTTGAAAAGCTGAGCCAACAGTTGACGAGAATATTTGGGGACTTTTTACCCAAAAGATTGTCTGATATTCCAGAGTTGGTGAAATAATATTCCTAATACAGAGATGAGCATAAATACGTTATAATTAAATATGAGGAGAAAATGTTGAAACAGAGAATTAGAGTTGGAGGATTAGTGAGGTAATACTGTTGATGTTGTTTCGTGAAATCTCCTTCAGGGCACAGAACTCTCCCGCCCTCGGATTGTCGCTAAGTGAGCGATGAGTCGGGGCGGTTGTGCGTGCGACTGTATTATTGTAGCAACATGGAATATGTGGAGTAATAAGTTTAAATAATTGGCCAACATAGTGCTGGAGAGGTTGCGAAGGTGGGAACCAGAATGGTGGGCTTGGGAGAACTGTACGTACCTCAGAATAATTTATATAAATCAAGTGCCGAATTGGCTGTAATGCGGTGAGAGCGGTTTGGAGCTTGAAGATTCGAGGAAACTTCACAAATGCTCCATTTTCGAGTGCTATAATTGAATCATTTAGCCGGCCAGTTTGTGAATTGAGTGCCATTGCAACTTGTCCACTATGTATAGGAGGAAGAAGACCTGCACATATTTGCCTCCTCTCTAATGGTATGTGAGAGAGTGTATATAGGGAAAAGGACGTGATAGGCGAACGCCAAGGGTCGCTTATGGGTAAGCTGGGCGACGCTGTCAACTCGAACTCTGACAGACTCGATTTGAAGCTAAACTGAAGTGATTTTGGATATAATTTTATTTATTATCTGTTGAAATTTACTTTAACCACCATAAATAAAGTTCCTTAGTTTGTTCTATACTTAAAAGTACTAAAAAGCACATGTTAATTGATGGATTTCAATCGCCACAAAGTAGGCAATTCAGTAGATTCGTGAGTCTCAGCAGAATAAGTAGAGCGAAACGGCATCTCAGGTAAATCTCAGGTTCTATGGCATTGACGAAAAAGAATGAGCACATTTTAGAAACGTCTCAATCTTGACTATCAAAGTATCTATAAACTTCATTCAAAATATTTTGACTTTGAATAAAATTTTGGACTTAAAAATTATATAGAGATAGAAGCCGATCAAGGTGAAAACTTTGAACCCCCATATCTCCCCTCCTATGATTTCAATCTTCATGAAAGGGGGTTCGTTGGAAAGGTCTCGACCTCAGCTGCAACATACTAAAATTTAAAGAAAGTTTACAGTCTAGTTTTCGAGTTATTCGATTTCAAAATTTCAAAAAAAGGTTTTTTTTATTTTAGCACCTCTAGCGGTGATCCTACCAAATTATGATGTTTGAGTGAAAGATTGAATTTTACGAGATCCATCTAATGAGCTTTCAATCATTCAAATCGGATAACTAGAAACGGAATTATAGCCATTTTTAGTTTTGGAAATTTGGACCCTAATATCTAGGGTCCGGAAGGACCTAGGTCTTTGAGTGGCGAATTGTTGGAAAGGTCTTAATACCAGCTGTAACATACTGAAATTTGGAGAAGATCCATGCCATAGGGGCTGAACAAATGAGCAAAACGTTTTTTGAGGGTGTTCAAAATGGCGGAAGGAGGAGTGGAGGGTTAAATTTGACATCACCAAATTCTAGCGGCAGTAGGACTTTTGACCTTTGGTGAAAACCGCATGTCGATATCTCTTACCGTTTAACCCATGGACGAAAGCAAAAAAGTGACCCCCTTTTTATGTTATGTTTCGTCATAATTAGCCTCCCTGAGGGTATTTTAGTCAATTGTGCAACGTTTGCTTTCTTGCGCGATTGCGGAGAGAGCCGGGCGTCGCCCAGCGCAGTTGTCGCATCCTGGCCGAATGTGGGCACACAGGCTGCACGTGCAGATCGCTGAGTGCCAAGAAACTGACCTCCGGCTGGCCGAGTCCCGTGCTTGGGTCAATTGTTTACTTAAGCACCTAAAGCACACAGGGCGTGTGTGCACTTTTGCCGAGCCACACATCTCTCGCTCCATTCTAACGTATGACAACTGAAGAGCCAAAGTATGGCTTATGGAGAGGACGAAAATTGTGAGTGCCTCGCAAAGGACTTGACAAAGGGAAATGTTTGCGCGCATGGAAGAGTGCATCAACTCTGAAATGCAGCATTTATTAAATGGGATGCGGCATAGGAGACAGCAGGGCAACTGCTAACACTGCACTTTTCAATCTCTCTCTCTATTTTTTTTTCTCCCGTCACACGCTGTTGAGTTGAAATATTTCCATGGAAATTGTTTACTCATTTCTCCATAGAGTAAATAGTTTCCTTTTCAGCTTCACGCACTCTAAACATTTGGTAAAAATATAATACAACTATAAGAAAAAAATGCAATCTTTGCTGTGACAAAAGTACAAATATGAGTTCACTTTTACCGCAAATTAAATGTGTGTTAAATTTGTACTTTCATGCACTGCACACGTTGCAGTGAACATAATTGTCGCATTTCAATTAGAAGGACTAAAATTGAAATAATGGTCATAATTGGACATTATTTCCTCCATGCGAGATCGCACACTGCGTCAAGGGAGAGATAAGATAGGCAGAAGTGGTGTACCAGACTAGTAAGAGTGCAGGAAGTGCTCAAAACTTACAATATTCTTTTCCTGAATGCTTATTTTATTGACAAATTATCAAGATTCTTTGGATTTCCTTCGATTTTCACTCAGAATCGATTTTTTTTCTAGGTTATGTAATGAATCACGAACAGATTTAGTGAATAATTCGCATTCTAACAAAACTGTACACCACTTGGAGACACTTCCACAGTCTCTATAAAGAATTCCAAACACTTCAGACACTTCTAAACGTCTCTCAAGGCATTTTCTATCGGTTTTCAAACTCCTTCAACTGTTTCTCATACTGAATTCTGACTTCTCACAATCTAATCAAATTGTAAGGTTATGAATTCCGCTTATAAAATTCTTCTTGGACTAATTTCAATCTTTATAAACCTGGAAATGAGTGAATATAGTAAATCTCTGAATGTTTCTATCATATAATGAGATTAAATTTGTTCTTTTAAAGCAGAAACTTCAGAAATAAACAAAGAAACATTAGATTTTGTGAGGTTATGATTATCTTTGATGCTTTTTCTCAAATCATATTAAGTTTCTTCGCTCAAAAATGCTCAAATATGCTAAGAAACAGAGAAATATTCTCAACCTTAATACAATTTTGATAATTTTGCGGGTTATTTAATGGTCAGAATCTGTCTTAAATCAATCATAAAACCTAAAAAAGCAATGAAATTGATTTTTTAAGCATATTTAATCCAGAAATGCCTCAATTTATTGAAACAGAAGCATTTGCAATGCAAATATTCCAATTATTTTAGCACTTCCAATGCCAAACACTTCCACAAAAGCTATACAACACTTCCGATCATAATATCGGTCCCTTGAACAAATCAATTCTTGTTCTTAAGTCAGAGAGATTGCCATTGGCAGGATTAGGCGTTTGCATACAATAAACATCTCTATTCTGACTCTTTGATGCCAAGAAACACGGTAAATTGTATTGAAGTGGAACATAATCTGAAAAATAGTCATTTTGGCTTGGAAAATGTTCATTTAGAAAACTTTTTGGACAATTTTAACTCTGATTCAGCAATTTTGACTTCATTGGCAAATCTTAACAGATGATTTTGTGATCTAGAAAGCTTTCAAAATGAGTTTTTGAAGATTACTTGGTAATATTTTTGAGGTTATGGTCGGAAAAGACACACATAAAGCGGGTTTAAAAGGATTCTTGCAGAAAAATCAGTTGGGAAACTTAGAAGATTCAATTTATTTTGGGAATTCATGTGGATAAAGTCTGC